CTAAATCTCTGTATGGACATGATTGAGTAGTGTAACAGTAATACTACAGAACCTGCAAAAATCCCCGACAACGTCAGATTTTTCCGTAATTGATACTCCATATCACTCCGAGTAAGGGGTTGTCACCCCTTTAGGAACGTTGGTGCATCTAAATCTCTGTATGGACATGATTGAGTAGTGTAACAGTAATACTACAGAACCTGCAAAAATCCCCGACAACGTCAGATTTTTCCGTAATTGATACTCCATATCACTCCGAGTAAGGGGTTGTCACCCCTGGTTGTCACCCCTTTAGGAACGTTGGTGCATCTTAATCTCTGTATGGACATGATTGAGTAGTGTAACAGTAATACTACAGAACCTGCAAAAATCCCCGACAACGTCAGATTTTTCCGTAATTGATACTCCATATCACTCTGAGTAAGGGGTTGTCACCCCTTTAGGAACGTTGGTGCATCTAAATCTCTGTATGGACATGATTGAGTAGTGTAACAGTAATACTACAGAACCTGCAAAAATCCCCGACAACGTCAGATTTTTCCGTAATTGATACTCCATATCACTCTGAGTAAGGGGTTGTCACCCCTTTAGGAACGTTGGTGCATCTAAATCTCTGTATGGACATGATTGAGTAGTGTAACAGTAATACTACAGAACCTGCAAAAATCCCCGACAACGTCAGATTTTTCCGTAATTGATACTCCATATCACTCTGAGTAAGGGGTTGTCACCCCTTTAGGAACGTTGGTGCATCTGAATCTCTGTATGGACATGATTGAGCAGTGTAACAGTGATAATACAGAACCTGCAAAAATCCCCGACAACTTCAGATTTTTCCGTAATCGATACTCCATATCACTCCGAGTAAGGGGTTGTCACCCCTTTAGGAACGTTGGCGCATCTGAATCTCTGTATGGACATGATTGAGTAGTGTAACAGTAATACTACAGAACCTGCAAAAATCCCCGACAACGTCAGATTTTTCCGTAATTGATACTCCATATCACTCTGAGTAAGGGGTTGTCACCCCTTTAGGAACGTTGGTGCATCTAAATCTCTGTATGGACATGATTGAGTAGTGTAACAGTAATACTACAGAACCTGCAAAAATCCCCGACAACGTCAGATTTTTCCGTAATTGATACTCCATATCACTCCGAGTAAGGGGTTGTCACCCCTGGTTGTCACCCCTTTAGGAACGTTGGTGCATCTTAATCTCTGTATGGACATGATTGAGTAGTGTAACAGTAATACTACAGAACCTGCAAAAATCCCCGACAACGTCAGATTTTTCCGTAATTGATACTCCATATCACTCTGAGTAAGGGGTTGTCACCCCTTTAGGAACGTTGGTGCATCTAAATCTCTGTATGGACATGATTGAGTAGTGTAACAGTAATACTACAGAACCTGCAAAAATCCCCGACAACGTCAGATTTTTCCGTAATTGATACTCCATATCACTCTGAGTAAGGGGTTGTCACCCCTTTAGGAACGTTGGTGCATCTAAATCTCTGTATGGACATGATTGAGTAGTGTAACAGTAATACTACAGAACCTGCAAAAATCCCCGACAACGTCAGATTTTTCCGTAATTGATACTCCATATCACTCCGAGTAAGGGGTTGTCACCCCTTTAGGAACGTTGGTGCATCTGAATCTCTGTATGGACATGATTGAGCAGTGTAACAGTGATAATACAGAACCTGCAAAAATCCCCGACAACTTCAGATTTTTCCGTAATCGATACTCCATATCACTCCGAGTAAGGGGTTGTCACCCCTTTAGGAACGTTGGCGCATCTGAATCTCTGTATGGACATGATTGAGTAGTGTAATAGTGATATCATAGAACCTTCGAAATTCCTCGACAACGTCAATTTCTTCCGAAATTGATATTTCATATCACGCCAAGTGAGGGGTTGTTGGCGCTTCTAAATCCTGTCTTTATCAGTTTTAGGGAATCTCATACCCACTAATTGATTTTCCAGATATTTTCTCGAAGAGTAATTCCTATATATCAGACCTCAAGTTATTGATACCTCATAACAATATTTTTCTACTCACATAACTAAAATGGCATTTAGCGTACGAATATGTACCACGCTAAATGATCGAGTAATCACGGATTGACGATCTGTGATTTATTCATAGTATTAAACGCGTTACCATGGCAACATAACTTCTTAAAGATATTACGCATGGCAACACAGTTCTTTAAACGCAGCTTCAGTCGTTTGAGTCCTGTCCGGCTTGTCAATTGTAAGAACTGTCAAATGTCATTTTCAAATTTTGTATCAGAATTATTATCCAAACAATTTTTGTTTGCATCAGAATTCTTCATTACATTGCGAAATGTAGACAAAAGTGAAATCGAAGAGAATGTTTTGGTACTTGCATATTTCCAAGAAGTGTAAAAATGAAGCATCCATCTTTGTGAACAATTCATTCTGCGCTAACCAGTAAGTTCCTTCTAGCAGAAATGGTATAGGTACTTATGTTAATGTAATCTTCGGAGTTCGTAGAAAAAGCATAGTATGTAACGCGTTTATAAACTCTTCTAGACACTCGTTTATTTAACACTCGCTCCGCTCTGCTCCGCGCTCGTGCTTAAAATACTCGTTACTAAAAGGACGTTTATAACACTTGTTACATAATATACTATTTATGTACAGTTCAATTCGTGAACTCATATGTAGAATCATCATCACATCGGAATGAATCCCTGTATCGAATGATATCGATGAAATTACCGGTATTCCCATTAGAAATGAAATGTCGGGTACTATTTATCTGGTCCGCTGGAAATTGGCGAGAGCGCAGATTTAAATCTGAAGCTAACTTCAGCCACATGCAATGAACAGGTTGTAGAGGACATGGAAGAGGACAGAGTTTCGACCCTAGGATTGTATTTGGAGTAGAAGTAGATAGGAAGTAAAAATTCCAAAAGTCCCCGCACCTACAGAATATATGCCGAATATATCAATTGGATATTGATCTTTGTATGCCTAAAATACATTTTTCGTTATAATATATCATTTGTTGACGATCGGCGATGGTGTTCTATGAAAATTAATATTATAATTGATGTCATTTTGTTACCCCCTAATGAAATAATTGGACCGTTTTCATGTAAATGGCAAAGAAAAGATTTATTCGTCGTCATAATAAATTTTCAGAACAACAGAATAAGAGACGAATGAATATTTTGTTTGTTAGTTACATGAAACAGGTCCAATCATTTTGTTCGGGGTTTACATAATGATGTCTATTTTACTTACTATTAATTATCATAAAACAACATCGCCGAACGTAAACATATAATATTAAGACAGGACAAAATTCTTACAGTCTACTCCACCAAAACTATACTTTATTGTAAGCAAACTTACAGGGACATGTTTCGAAGCTTTAAAGCTTCATCATCATCGTTATTGTTATATAGGAGCACATATTTATATTATTGAAAAATGTTTTAGAAAAAATAAAAAAGTTGAATGGGGACCGCAATTATTGCGGAACCCCTTTGTTAGGGAACTTTAAATTTCATATTATAGTAGTATTCAGATCAAAATATGATATTGTTAGCGCAAATTGGATTTCAGGACTATGAAGGTCAATATCCAATTCATTTATTCGGCATATATTTTTCAAACTTCCATTTTATTAAGAAACAATATGAAATCAATGCCGAACATTAATGTATGATAAACGCATAGTCTACACCCTAAAGACAAAAGTACGCGGGAGTGCGACGATCGTATTACCCTGAATATTTGTGAATAATTAGTTGACATCACAAAATGCCGAGCACAAACAAATGATAACTTTCAATTGAAAAATTGTTGGCCATATATCCACCCTACTTCAAGAAACATGTATGTACCTCTATTTCAAATTTGCTTCGGTGTCCTGTGGATTGATTTTCAATACGACGTTTCGTTTTTCGGGAGGCATTTTCAGGTCTATTTGAACCAAATACGGACCTGTATTTTTTTTAGTTAATTCTTGTAGTGCAAATATGTATTATACCTCGAATTTTCTCCTACATTTCTGCCTATTAATTTCATCATCATGCTCGGAATCATAAAAATACCATCTTGGTTTTCCCCGTATATTCCGAAAACGGTTGGTGATATTTCCGATTTGGAAGCATTGGTTCATTGTTTACTTTTGAATAAGCTACTGCCTAATTTATCCAACTTCGTATCATTTACCTAGGTTCCAATAATAGTTCGACGAAAAAAACGGTCCGTATGCAGGGTGTTACCACGTGGAATACAGGTCAAAATAATTTGATTGGACTAATTATTTATATAACAAAATGTACCGTTTGACCGAGAGACGAGTTCAAAGTAGAAAAACACATTTTTGTACTATGTTCAAAAATGAGTGAAACAAATTGGATGCAATTTGACAAAAGTACATTTTGAAGGATAACCCTCCTTTCGGTAATCAAAAAATCCAAAATAAATTGTAGAAGGGTTGAACCCACTCTCACCCCCTGTCATTTTTTTCATTTTTAGGGGTGGTAATAGGGTTGATTGATGACTGATTGATTATCTTCATTTTGTTACTCTTGTGAGATTTTTTTTTAAATAAATGTTCAATATGACGCCTACCTTCATGAAAACAAATGTCAGTTCCTTTGAGAAACCTATTACCATCCCTAAGAATGTCCTGAACAAAAATTCGGGGGGTGAGGGTGGTTTCAACCCTTCTACAATTTCTTTCCGGTTGCTTTGATTACTTAGGGAAGAGTTTCTGTGTTTTCCTGTCTCACGGACAAACGGTACATTTTTTTATATAACTAAGTTGAGTCCAATCAACTCATTTTGAACTGTATTAGGTACACGTGGAGGTCTGGGTCCCAGCAATTTTGGGACACCCTATATCTTCTGATCTGATACAAATAGGGGAAAGAATTGAAAAAATATCGGTTCAAAAACATATTGCTGCTTTTCATCCAGCGCTGTTTGGTAGAGGCATGTAGGGGATATTCTAGTTGTTCGGTTGGGTCTCCCCTTCATGCTCCTTGCGGATCATGTGACCTCTGAAGGATGCCTGGATCTTCACTGCCGCTTTGTTCAAATCTGGGTCTGTCAGATCGATGTCCAAATCTTCGTCTGCCTGCAGAAGTATGAGAGAGTGTTACGATTCAGGTTGTGAATTAGCGAGTGCAATAAAATTCAGAGGGCAATATAGGAGGGATTCACGATCATGGTTTATGTAGACCTGAATTTGACCAACTTTTTTGGGTTGATTGAGAAATCAGAGTTGAAACTTTATTGTAGTACACTGAGGAAAATTCCTATTAACCATAGTCAGAAATCGAATTACCCCAGCAAGAAACTGTAATAGCATAGGGGACAAGCCACCCAGCCAACCATCGTGTGACATCAACATCTGTGTGATGTAAGAACCTTGCATAAATGCAATATCTCGTTAACACATCTTATCGACGTAGATTCGATATCAACGTCGCAAGGTGACATCGCAACCAGGAAACTATGTAATGTGGCAGCGACTTCTTCAAACTACATCTCTTCGACGTTAACTAAATAATTCACATTGATATCCTCATGAGATATCTTTGTGACGTGAGTGTGACGCAGACATGCGCAAAACGAACGCACACGCCAGACGCCATGTTGAGCTGTGCATGGCCACGTCAGTCAGTCAGTGAGTGAGTCCGACTCCGTACAGACTATTTCCTTCCAAATTCTCTGTTGAAATATCTGAGTTGATTTATAGCGCACATATTATAGCATCTTCAAATTGGATGTATATAATCATTCAGGAACGACGGTGATGAGTTCAATCACAATAGGTAATATTGTAATTATCACTGAAATAGGAATATATTGCAATCTAAAACAAGGTGGATGAGAAATCCCAAGATAATGTAAGTGTATTTGATATGTATCATTTATGAATAATGTATATTTGTACTGCTATATATATGTGTCATGCTTTACTTCAAGATTACTAATTAGGGTGATTGTCATGATAAGTTTTGTATCATCTGTTTTTACTTTCGGAAAATAAACATTTTCTTCGTAAAGTTGAATAATAATTATTATTATTATTATATATCCCACGAATATCACAGGTACGGCGACCACATCATCGATGTCGCAGTGTGATGTATTCGTAATATGAAATGTACATGCACTTGTATGCGACCTGGTAGTGATTTGTCATGTGATGTCGCATTTCATGTCTGAACGACGTCACAGTGATGATGCTTGAGTCGGACATTTTCACATCGCCACGTTGTATCGGTAACAATACATGTTTGTGACTTCAAATGAGATATCGCATGTCACAAAGTGATGTGGCGTATACATCACTTATACATCTCATGGTTGGCTGGGAAGTTATCACCTAGTCTATTTAGATTTTTCATTGACATAGCTCGTTTGTGCATTTTGTTCATTGGTGAATTCAGATAATGTTTGTCCCAATAATCATAGCTGTTTGGATTTCTAGCATTGTATATACGTTGACGAATAACTATACCAATTACCAATTCACATGTATGACGGTTATTAGACAATCATTCGACAATCTTAATTCGGCTTATTTGGCTCTAGTTTTTCATCAGTTTTGGGGCTGACATATTTAAATAATCATGTTGAAATCTTGAACCATAAAATATATTTGAGAAAGTTATATTTTCTTTATAGAGAACATTAAAAGCTCATAGTTCAGATAGGATGTTTAATTTACTTGCACCAAGTCCTGAAGAAAATTTGTGAGTAGTTTTGTTCTGAAGATTTTGTTAGTTATCAATGTCACAATTTCTTGTTCAGTATCACGTTACTTTCACGATCACACCTTGATTCATTATAGAGGGACATGATTCACTTATTTCCGAAAAATTAAGTTGGTGATAGATCTTTGAAATAGCTACAATAAAGTGCATCAGGGCGATACAGTATTTTCACAGTGATATCATCGTGAGAATATCAGAAATTCTCCTATTATTTGGACCATACTTTTTTTTGCTATCTTTGATTAGAAATTACTGAAATTCCAGGCAAATACAAAGTGGCGTCAAAAAATCTTTTTCATACCCTGTAACTTTTCAATGAACTCTTTGTTGGAGGGTGTTCATACTTGAGACTTATCACTTAACTTACTTTCCTGGAAAAAAAATGCATTCACCATATACAGGGTGAGTCATAACTATTGGGACATAGACTAAGGGCGGATTATCTGGACCAAAATATGGCGATAAGACCAAATATGCCTTGATAAAATATTGCTGTGGAAAAAGATACAGGGCGTTAAAGTTGAATTTTTTTATCGTTTTTGCTAATTATTTCACTGTATATTCATCAATTGTTATTAAAATTGGCACAGGAGCATATTTTATACAGGGAATAATATTTTATGTTTCATTTCACATCGAGTTACAGGGGGCGCCACGTGAATGATTCCTGATGATGAAATCGAATGGTAACTTTTTTTGACGAAACTTTTTAGTGATTTCGATCGAAAAATATGAAATAAACATTTTTTTCACGTAATATCAATACTCTTGTTTGAACATGATATATTCATCCGTTTTCGAGAAAAATGCAATTGAACAAACCATCAGAGTCTCGGAAGGGGATTTCAAATATTATTTCATTTATGAAGAGTGTGCTTTGGACTGTCAGATAATTGTTGCTCGTGAATGATATTTCTTGTCAGTGATTAAATCCTGGTGCGAGTTTATAGTCCATACATTTTCGATTAAAATGCCTCGCCACAATCATTTTACGAATGAAGAAATGCGGGATATGATTTGTGTATACGCACAAGATCATTTTTGCGGCCGCTCTGCAGCTAAAGCAAAACAGCAAAACTATCTCATATCTATTCATCGTTTGGGTGAAACCGGATCATTTCACAGTAAAAATCAAGGTGGTCGTCCGAAACGGATCACGCCTAATCAAGCAGATGAAATTTTGGTTCGAATAGATGAAAATACCAGAGTAAGTTCACGTCATTTGTCAGCAGCAACAGGAGTTAGTCGTCTATTATTAGAATTCTAAAAAGAGAAAAGTTTCACCCTTATCACTTCACTCCTGTTCAAAATTTGCTTCCAAGAGATCTCCCACGTATGTTACAGTTCTGCCAACGTATTTTCAACAAGCATATTGATGACCGAACTTTCATTAAAAATATTATGAAGTGACTTTTACCAGACGAGGTGTATTAAATTGGCGTAACAGCCATTATTCGGAAGAACAAAATCCGCATGCTTTGATAGAAAGACATTTTCAGCATGAGTTTAAATTAAATATTTGGTATGGCATTATAGACGACCAACTACTAGGGCCATATGTTCTGCCTCCAAATTTGAATGGAGATTCTTTTTATTTTTTCAACATACTTTCAGTGATATTTTGGATAATCTGTCATTTTCCATTAGTTGTTAGAAATCATCTGAGTGACATATTGATTGGCAGATGAAGTAATTTTGAATGGTCACCAAGAAGTCCTGACTATAATCCGCTTGATTTGTATGTTTGGGGACATATGAAGTCCTTGGTTTATACCGATGAAACAAACTCAAGAGACGAACTCTGGAGAAGAATAAAAGATGCGTCTAACTTTATAAGGGGACAGTTAAATTTTTTTTTCAGTCCGAAAGTCCTTAATTAAAAAATTTTTAAAAGGCATAGCAATCGGAGGAGGCCACGTAGAGACGTAGAATATTTGATTTGAGTTTGCTCTCTCTATGTTGTTTTCAATTGTGCTTTATCGCTGAAATAGAAGCCTTATAAATACGTTACAAGTTTTTTTATTGTTCGTTACTCTGATCTGTTCAATTGCGTTTTTCTCGAAAACGGATGAATATATCATGTTCAAACAAGTGTACCAATATCACGTAGAAATGATGTTCATGTCATATTTTTTAGTGAAAATCGCAAAAAAGTTTCGTCAAAAAAAGTTACCAGTCGTTTTCATCATCAGGAATCATTCACGTGGCGCCCCCTGTAACTCAATGTAGAATAATACATAAAATATTATTCCCTGTATAAAATTATGCTCCTGTGCCGATTTTGATAACAATTGATGTATAATTATTAGCAAAAAACGAAAAATAAAAATCAACTTTAACGCCCTGTATCTTTTTCCACAGCAATATTTTATCTAGGCAAATTTAGTCCTATCGCCATATTTCAGTCCAACCTGTGGCCACCTCCACTCATTTTGCTTTTTCGGTTTTCGGTTTCGGAGGCGTGCCCAAAATATTGAAGTTTCAGTAAACAGAGAAGTAACCTATTTCCAACAAAATAGAAACTTCTGTTTAGGTCGACATATTCTAGACAGAATATTCAATTTTCAATTATCAATTCAATCGTATTTAAGGGGGATTTTATTGTGTTTGCTTCATTAGCTAGTATCTATGCAGTATCCATGAACACATGAATTCAACATTAAAACATTCATAATAACATTATCTATTTGCAACTGGAATATAAGTTTAAGTATCTCATTTCATGAATTCAACTGACTGAACCAAAGTTGCAACTGGAGAAACATATATAACCCACATTTTCATGTCAATATACGGCTCAGATTTTGATAAATAATGTCATTTGCGAAATTACTAGACAACAAAATGTCTTATAAATCGCCGAATATTTCGGGCAAAATGTAGTATCACTTCTAGATATAAGAATTTTCGGAATCCAGAAACCATAATTATGTTATTGTCTTTCCGTAAATGCCAATAAACCACTGAGTTAACAACACCTTGTGATATTAGCAAAAATCTAAGGTAATAAACACAGTAATAATAAGGTACCTACTTCAGGTTTTTTATCTTGAGATGAGCCAGAGTCCTCATTATGCTTCTCATTTTCCTGTTTCCTCGACATGTGTCCTCTAAAGGAAGCCTGGATTTTTGTTGCGGCGTGACATAGTTCTGAAAAGAAACATATATTTTTCAATCGTTCTCTGCAGGGTGTTACTTATGATCATAACATCGGCTGGTTTACGGTATATCGTTACCCCCGAGGAGTAACGGGTATATTCCTAGCAAAAAATAAGGAAGAACGTACTCACGCAATGTTTTCTCAAGACCCACTTTTTCGGAGATACACACTTCGTGATGTTTTGTGTAACAAAACCTTATATTCTCAAAGCAGAGCGAATAGGTAAACGATATACTTTGTTTTGAGAGTGTGCAGAGAAGAAGTTTTTATTTTTTATCGAAATTGAACATTACAAAAATATTCATTATTCCAAATTTTTTGGGATTTTCTCTCCTCGTTTCTATAAAATAAAAATATGAATATTATTTCAATATACGTGTAGTAAGGACAAATCAGATGAATTTACTCCGTGTGGTGGTCGGATTAGAATAACCCCACGGTAAGTCCTGCCTGTCGTAGAAGGCGACTAAAAGGACGCCAATAGGTGGAAGATGGTTAACGCCATCGCCCGGTGCGATACCACCACATCAACCATAGGCACTGTGAAATGGGTATACTTACCCGTGTTTCAGTAGCTGGTTGATGTTCCGGCCAACCCAACCCAACTCAATTTCCTTTTCCTTCCACGCCAACCTCCCTTCTTTATACAGAATACGCGATGATGAGTTCTCCTCAAGTAAAATTATCCGGAAGTAAAATACCTCTCCATTCGGATTTCCGGGCGAGAGGTGCTAGAGGGGGTTCACCATCGGCTCAAAAAGTCCTCATGATAGACCTATGCAACATCCGAGGTCTAAGTAAGAACATCAACGATGTCCATCGACAACTTCAAATTGAAAAGCCAGACATATTAGCTCTTACTGAGACACAGGTCAATTCATCCACCAATACGACCTATCTGCTCTGTCCTGAGTACGAACTCCACACACGTTTCAGATTCAAGGGAGGTCTCTGCCTCTACTCTGAAACGAATCTCTCATGTCAACGAGAAAAAACTTTGGAACCAAATAAGTTTGATGTCATGTGGTTCAAACTCGATAGCCAGAAACAGACCAAGTACCTTTGTTGTCTCTACTTATCCCAAATGATCCATCCTATGAAGAGCTCTTCGAATTCTTGCCTCTGAAGCTTGACCAAATTCAACAGAACCATCCAGCAGCAGAAATCATCATCATGGGCGATTTCAATGTACACAACACTACTTGGCTCGTACACTCTAACAGAACGGATGAAGCTGGGCGACAAGCCGAAGCTTTCGCCATCATTCACGGCTTAGAGCAGCTTATCAAAGAACCCACACGAATTCCCGATGCCAATAACCATTCAGCTAACATACTTGACTTATTCCTCACTAATAATTCAGAACCCTACACCATAGATGTACGAGCTCCACTTGGCAATTCTGACCACACACTCCCCACTGTGCAAAAACTCATACTATTAACGTTATTTCATTGTAACCAAGATACGTTGTTACGTTGTGAATTTGGTGCTATTGACATCTTAAAGATTATCTTAGAGTCGTTATATGTCCACCAACAGTACAATATCGCAGGACGTCGCAAGAACGTTGAGTAAGAGTCGAAACTGATACGTGTCATGAAACAGCTTTGTTACAGTGAAAGTACATTCTCAAATAGTATTTGCGATAACGCATTTACGTACCATGTCTTCATTTCGGAATGTAATAAGTACATATCCCTGGACGATTTCATAACATACCTGTTTCATTATTGTTGACTCTCTTGTAACATTACTAGGATCTTTCGAAATATACAGGGTGATACTCCAAAAATGTTCACCCTTGTAACTTGGTTATTTCTAGACCAATATTCGTGAATTCTGAAAACTAATACTGGTATAATCACATAGCTAGATTTTATCACACTGGGTTTTTCATAATATGTGGGACGCGTCCTCTCATTTCTCCCACTACAGAGAACGATAAATAGGTATAATGAAGCAAACTTGGTTCAATCATCTCAAATGTATCGGAAGGAATAAAAAATGGTAGGTATTTTTAACAACTTGAAAACAAAAGAGTTCTGGTCAATTCTTTGAAGGATCATTCATTATTGTTTTGAGCTGCCCTATCACATCTTGATGTGCGTCCCATATATTTTGAAACACCCAGTATACATTTTCTGGCTAAAAAATATACCAAATAGTTTTTGAATTCTGCGATCGGTCCAGAAATGACTAAATTTACAAGAGGGAACATTTATGTTGGATCACCCTGATATTTACTATAGTCAGCTCCATCGCTGAATACCCACTTATCAGAGGAGAAAAATAAATTCAGAAATGTATTCAATCAATGTATGTAAGGTAGAAGTACAATTGGAAATAAATGGATATTTGATTGACTATAATTATATCCTTCCACGTATGTCACTTCAGTTAGTTCAGTTTTATGATTCTATGGGCGAATCTATTTCAAGGCTGAGGATTTCATGAAATGCACCTGAAACACCAAACAATTGTTATACACAATATCAGCATCAAATATTCATATCATCCTACCTTGATTCTGCCTCGATTAGTTCCCTTTCTGATGGTGTGTTCTTGATTCTCGAAACTTTCACCCTCCTCTGTGGCAGTGGGTGGATTTTAGAGTGTTCTAGCCCAATGTTAGAGTTGATTTTCATGTTGTCATCATTTTTTCATACGCCTTTCAAGAATAAAGGAATTACTAATTCTTGTGTCCCCCAAATTCCTCTATTTTTGATTGAATGAAATCCCAGATACTTGGATTCTGAAATATATACCATACCTAAGTAATAAATTTACATTACCTACTATATGCATTTCACTTTTTCATACCTGAACTTCCCAGGCAAACAGCAGATGTGTATTCCATCATTTCTACTAAAGTAGGTCAGAGCAGGGTAGGTTTGTCCAGAGCTCACGCATGTTCTAGTAATGTAGGTATCCATCAGGTTCCGAGGAAACTTCATAAGTACTGACCTGTAAACAATATGTAGTACTTGAAGACATTGATATATTCCAATGAAAGCTTCCGTGAATGACATGAATCTAACTATTTTGAGGGAGCCTGTTGGTCACTGATATACCTATATAGCTATTTGGTGATACATTTTTCTATATTGCGTATGACCTAACCCCAAAAATCGAATAATATTACTGAGTTCATTTGAAACAAAGAGAGGAACAATAATAGAGGACTTGTGTGCTTGTAGTTATATTTATCACATAATTATATATTCACTGAGGAAGATACCCGACAATAAATTATGACTGAAGCCATTATGAATCAGACAACTGTGTGCTGATACATAAACAGAAAATTATGATTTTGGTAATTCAACTCACCTATCTCACCATGTTTTCCAAAAAACGCACTTCCACTTGATTTTCTTGACTATTAGTCTACCTCAAAAGTCAAAATTCACACTTTATTGTGAGACACATCAAACACAACACAACACAAACCACGCCGTCCGTCATAACCACGACAGCATCATCTCTCAAAATGGCGAATATTAGCAAAATAGCACAAAGTGAGAAAGATACGTGTCTGATTCGAATCAAGTTCGTGATAATAGTCCCACGGAAAATGATAAAAGTACGTCACATAAAATGTTCTGTGGATGAAATAAGAATACTTTGGAGAAGGCGTTGGAATATTGACTCAAATAAGATCACATAGACGTGCATAGGTCAGTTTACTGTTACGAAACAGCGATGTGTATCTGGGGATGTAGCAGAGTCAGCCCAAATAAGAGACGAATTAAAACGTCCCAGAAATATGTTATTATCACTTATAAAAGATGTAATCTCAAAAAGGTCACCAAAGGTACAAGAAATTAACGTTACCAAACATCCCCGGGATGTTCCTTGCTCAGTGGGTCATCTCCACAACCTGCCCATTTTTCATTCCATCAACTGCCCCGGCACCCCCACGTCTTATATGGCATTACAATTCAGGAGATTGGGACGGTCTCCGCATGTTTTTCTCCGAGTTTCCTTGGCATAGAGTATGCCTTGACTCTGAGGACCCTTCACAGTGTGCTGCGGAAATATCCGAGATCATCATGCTCGGAATGGACACATACATACCTCATTTTTCGAAAAGATCATCACCTTCGAAACCCTGGTTCAACAAAAACTGTTCTAGAACTGTTGCCTTGAAACAAACAGCCTACCATCGCTGGCGCAAAAACCCTAACCTCGCGACTAGAGCAGAATACGTTGATGCCAGGAATAACTGCAGCCAAACAATAGATGCTTCGAAAGAAACATACAATGCCAAGATAAGATCGAAACTCATAGATTGCCCCAATGGCTCCTGTTCGTTTTGGTCCCTTGCTAAAGCGGTCGGAAGAAATTTCACTAATAGTTCATTTCCACCACTGTCCAAATCCGACGGCACATTAGCAACAACAACGCAGGAGAAAGCGAATATTTTTGCAGAGATGTTCGCAGCAAACTCTACTTTAGATTCCCAAGGAAAACTGCCGTCAGACACTCCACCCGTTGAGGGTGTGTGTGTGTGTGTGAATGCCCGAAATCGTCTTCCGTCAACGCACTATCAGACGAATTTTGCTTGGTCTCAAAACGGATAAAGCTAACGGTCCTGATGGAATTCCACCCGCATTATCCTCAAAAAATGTGCACCAGAATTAACACCGATTCTCTGCAAGTTGTTTACCATCTCGTACAGGTCGGGTATTTTTCCATCATGCTGGAAGACAGCTAGAGTCCAACCAATCCCCAAAAAAGGGAACAAGAACCTGCCCAACAACTACAGGGCCATTGCCCTGTTATCAGTAATCTCCAAAGTGATGGAGAAAGCCATCAATATTGAGCTTATCAAATATCTGGAGAGCTCAAAAATCATCAATGATAGACAATACGGCTTCCGCCACCGAAGATCTACTGGAGATCTACTTGCCTACGTCACCCATTTATGGCAATCTTCAATAGAAAAACACGGGGAATCTCTAGCTGTCGCGTTGGACATATCGAA